GCGTAACCAAAGGTAAGTAACCTTTCGAAAGAGGTGCGTTAGATTAGGCTGAGGGCTTGGTAAGGCTTCGGGTTACTTAGGTTACAAGTGTCCAGAAAGGTTTGGTCACGTGAGCAAGAGGTACAACAAATAACAATTTATAATTTATGGTTTGGGGAGTGTATTAGCGAAGCAATGTTATTGGGTCACGTGGATAATAGGTAAAATGAATAAGTTAAATTTATTGAAGGACTTAGGGTAGTAGTGTTATTGTATTAATGTGAGCGATTTATTTAATAAAATTTGGGACTTTATTATTTTTAATGAAGCAAAGGCGAGACTTTTTTATCTCAAGGGCCATTCCAGCCTTTATTTATAAGATATTTTTCTTAAAGATACATATTACATTTATTAAACATATCCCCTATATTCCATATATTTCGCATAGGTCGCATTCGTTATATATGTCGCTTGCGTCGCATGCGACTTATGTAACGGATGCGACGTATGCAACTTGTCCCACCATCTGTGTTCCGGAAGGAATGTGACCAGTTAATCACGTTACTTATCACGATTTTCCTTTACTAATTCTCGCGCCAAACGTGATAGACCACAGTTTATCCGAATCACATTGTTGAACCTCACAATAGTCTTGAAAAGAAGTGTTTATCTTTTAATAAATTTCCCTTTAAATTGTTTAAATTCTTTCTATCTTGTCCCCGTGATAATTTCTCGTTGAATTTTGAAGATCAAGGAACCCAGTGATATCTTCATGATAATTACATCACATGATTAAGCATTTGGCCTACGTTAGGATTAGTGTTAGGGTTAGGTGATAGTATAGTTTAGGCTAATTTGTTTAATGCTAGTAAACAAATGACGTAATTACAAGATTTCACGTGATGTGATGATCACTAGATGGGAATTGCTACGGACACAGCAACACGTGACTTATCCTCTTATCGGCACAGCAACGATTAGATGTGAGATTTCTTGATTAGAAGTCAGTTAATATCTAAATATTTTATTATATAAAAGCGATTTATGCCTTTAATAAAAGTTGAAGAGGCCATTTATCCAATTCCAACAATACTAAAATTACCAAAATTTCCCGATTGGATCGCGAGATATAAGCAGTTAAATCTTAACGATTATGTCAAATCTTGATATGAGCGCGAAAATAAAAATACTCCTATCTCGCGATTTACCGAATAAATTTTAGCGATTTTGACATCATTGTAATCAGAATACTTGTCTCTACAACTTTAATTAAAGAAATAAGGAGGATTTACTTAGTAAAATATCTTGAAAATTGAATTTTTAATATTTAATAAAATATAAATCTTTAAGATATTTACTAAGTAAATCTTCTTTATACCTCTAATTAAAGTTGTAGAGACAAGTATTCCGATTTCAATTATGGCAAAATCGCTAAAATTAGTTCAGTAGATCGCGAGATATGAGTATTTTTATCTTCGCGCTCATATCAAGATTTGACATAATCGTAAAGATTTAAATGCTTATATCTCGCAAACCAGTTGGCAATTTTTGTGATCTTAACATCGTTGGAATCGGAGCAATGACTTCTACAACTTTTATTACAGTCATAAATCGTTTTTATATAATAAATATTTAGATATTGACTGACTTCTAACAAGAAATCTCGTTGCTGTGCCGATAAGGGCGATAAGTCACGTGTTGCTGTGTCTGTAGCAATTCCCTTCGCGAAAGAAAAGATCGTCGACAATCACGTGAAATGTTTCAATTTTTTAAATCGCTATAACTTTTTTTCACAGAAGGTTTTAAAATAAATTGTATTAAGTAACTTTGTAGAGCTATTTGAGCTCTATATACAGACCAAATATCTTTTTGGTATCTTATCTGTATAACGAAATATTGCGATTTAAAGATTATATAAATTTATATATGTTTTGGCTTTAAAACGCTACTACTCGTCGCAGAAACGAAATTTCAAAAATCTTATCCGATAACTTTGTAGAACTTACCACTTAGAACAAAGTTATCGGTTCAGATTTTGAAAATTTGTCTCTACGGCGGTTTAAAGCCAAAACATATATAAATTTTAAATCGCAATATTTCGTTAGACAAGACCAAAAAGACATTTGGTCTGTATATAGAGCTCAAATAACTCTACAAAGTTACTTAAGACAATTTATTTTAAAACCCTTTGTGTAAAAAGTTATAACGATTTAAAAAACTGAAACTTTTCACGTGATTGCGAGCATAGACTTCCGACACCATACTCAAAATTTATCAGAATTAAACGAATATAAAATTGCTATGGACGTTTGGACTTGACAAAACGCCAAAATGTACAGTACACTTATCGTTATGATCACAAATGCTGAATTTCAGTTCGTATTACATTGGGGTGTTCTATATCGGTCTAAGGCCATGCAAAGTTAATTAATTGGTTCTCGTAACCCGGCCAGGTCAAATTTTAAAAACTTTTATAAAATTTTTTTTATATGTTTTAATAATCGGGTGGGTTTTTTAAAAAAAATTTTATAAAATTTTGTAAAATTTAAAAAAAAAGCCGGCCGGCCGGCCGGGCCTATTTAAAAAGTTTCATGTTACGAAAACCAATAAATTAAATTTGCATGGCTGTTAAACGGCATTCCATATTTATGCTAGTGGCTTTATCAAATTAATTTTTATTCTTTTTATATTTTTATATCTTGGAATAAATGCAATATTTAAATTTACATTATTACCGTGCTTATTATTTACTAATTATGTGTGTTGAGAGAAGTATTTCTCATCTCTTAAAGCAAATACTAAAAACAAAAAACGGAATCCTGTCGCCGAAAAAAACGGGACGAGACAAAAGTAAATGTTGATACATTTTGGTTAGTAACCCTAATGTTTATACTAAAAAATCCTTAGTTAATTTGTAAAGTATACTACATCTGCATCAATCGCGAATCAAAATTTTCACTTATTGACTATTACTGGTAGAACTCTTAAGACGATGACTATGACGATGTGAGGATGAATATTCTTTTTCTCTAATGGAATGTTTTCTATTACTACGATAATTAGGTTCGTATCTATCATACCCTCTATGTTTTGACCGAGAACTATACCGATTTCTAGAACGAGAACGAGATCTAGAATATGATTCTGAACGGCCCTGATGGCGTTTATCATTGTCAGAGGGTGTAACTATAAAGTTTATAAAATATAAAATATCAATAATAGAAAATACAATATATACGTTAGCTGTGATTATTATACATTGATATTAATTAGAAGGTTTACTTATTTTTTTTTTTTTTTTTTTTTTTTTTTTTTTTTTTAATTTCTCATAAAATTAAAAATTTGCTTGTAAAAAGCATTAGAAACAACTAGTATATTTGAAGCATATTAAAAGCAAACCTTCATTCTAATTGATAAGTGATGCAAAGGGAAAAGATCCTTTAGGGGCGAATCCATTAAAGTGAAATTCAACATTAATTCTGGTTTTCCCTTAGCAAAGCTCATATATTTATAATCGCAGGCCTAACTTCAAATATGTCGGAAAAATATCGCGATCACATAAATCCAATTAGTGAGTCTGACGTACAATCCCGTGCCAATAGGTTAATGAAAAAAAGCACGGATCAAGCGTAATATGCAATTATGCTTTTCAAAAAAAAAAATCGCCAGTAACTTAAATTTGTCCATGAAACCTCCTCTGATCCTAGCAATGACAAAGGTTTCATTACTTTGAATCCATCTATTTAATAGATTTATAAGTTAACCTGATTTCAAAATTTGATTGGACATAAACTATGTGATCGCGACATTATGAAAATGACAAGTCTATTTCCATTTTCAATTATTAGATACTTACATCTATCTGAGTTAGTATCATTATCCTCCTTTTCATCTAAAAGATCTTTTGGTGCACTTTCACGTGGTTGTAGATCACCATTTTCCTCTAACACATAACGTTTTATGATTCGTGGCATTATGGTATCACATACTCTATCTTCACGTAATAGTTCATCTATTAATTCGTCCATGTGTGTAATTGCGAATCCACCATCTTAAGGAATGAATATTAATATATTTTTTAAAGACTTTAGGATATAAAAAGTGAATATTGAATTCAGTCTACTGATTGTTCGTTTTCTCAACTTTCGATAATCATTTAACAATGGTTCAAGATATTGATAAATGTCCAGCGATGTTCCAACAAGTCTTGCACCAAGAGCTCTTAAATACCTGCATAGTATAAAAACATAGATAGTTACTGTATATCGAATTGAAAATTTTCCCGATCAATTACGACAACCCAATTTAATCTGAATTAAACCATACTTATTTATACTTTTCGTTCTTAAATTCTATAATGATCTCTTTATTCGGTTGTGATTGTAATAATTTCAGAGTTAAACATAGAAATTCTGTTGGTTTTTGGTTACCATATTGACCATCAAACGAAGTTAACACAACTGCTCTGTCGATTAAGGTTTCAAATTTTTGAGGAAACCTTTAATCTAGTTGACTACAGTAGTTCTGACTATTGGTAATCTATAGAAATATTAAACCTGTTAAACCAAAACATGATTCTTTCCAATAAATAGATTCATAGATTCTAAGGTATTGAGGATTTTTTCCATGTATTTGCGTCTGATACTAAATTTTAAACAGGTTAATTACATTTTATTTTATCATATTACATCCAATCAAATTACAGTTTTAATTAGGTTATCCGAGGATAGGGTAAACGTTATTTTTATCCAAAATATTATTCTTTGGGTTATTTGCAACATTAATTATAAACATTAATTTTATAATTTCAAGTTGTTTTTATTGGTGTCGTTGATAATATTCCAGCAAGCACCAATGTTTATGTATATTCTACCTCATATACTAGTAGCCGATATAATCTTTTTTTTAAAAAAAATAAAATTTTTATTGATCTTATCAAAAACCTTATATATATCCTATCCTTTATTTATCACCTAACTGAATTTAAAAATTCCTATTTATTATTTATTACTAAGTAGCAGTGCATTTTTTTTATTTTTATAACCTTTTTTACGCCTTTCATAGTTGTGATTCATGTCCCATTTATTAATTCTTTATTAATAACTTTCACTATTAAAAGAATGACTTTAGAATTTTTAATTCAATTACTATTGCTATCAAATTTATTAACGTTAAGTTCTTATTTTTAACTTTGATGCAAAAATACCATTCCTGATAGGATAGAAAAAAAAAAATCGATTTACTAAGACTCGAAGCTAATTTCCCTTAATAAGTTATGCTTAAATATAATATGGATGCCATGTCGTAATTGATCCATAACGTGTAAAACTTAACATTGATCCCTAAAATAATAAATGCAGTAAGTAAGAATATATCTAATGTTTTGTGCTGAAAACTTTCATCATTATACACTAGTACCAGTATTTCCAAGATATTGTTTTTTTTTTGAATATTGATTTTACATTGAATCGGCGATCATTGTTGGACTTTATTACTTCGATATTTTAGAACCCTGAGATGTAAATCGATCTTTTTCTATCTCTTCAGGAACAGTACCGACGATCTACTAAGAACGGTATTTTGTGAGAACGATAGTTAATAATAATAACAATAATAACAAATAAACATGAATAATATTTTTAGATAAACAAAAAAGTTCGAAATTTTTATCATAATATCTTTTATTAAATCTATTCATACTGATAATAACTATATACAATTAAATCAAAATCTTTACGAAAAACCTACAAAATATTTGAGACAACTTAGTTTCGGAGATTAAATCCCCTACTTATCCCAACCACCACGTAAAGGTGTGTCTCATATCGGTTGAGTGGGGTGTTTCGACTCTATAAGGTGTTTCAACTCTAGAAGGGTGTTTCGACTTTATTCAGGTTTTTCGACTCTATAAGGGTGTTCCGACTCTATAAGGGTGTTCGACTCTACAAGGGTGTTTCAACTTTATAAGGGTGTTTCAACTCTATAAGGGTGTTTCAACTCTATAAGGGTATTTCGACTTTAGGAGGGTGTTCCGACTTAAAAAAATAAAAATAAAGCGCCGCATAGATGAAGTGTACTGTACAACATTTTTCTGCTGCCGTACAGACGACTTCATCTCGCCGAGCTACTTAAAGAACTGAATCCTCATACGGAAACAGTAGTCTTTAAGCACGCTTTAAGCAGAAGAAAAAAATAAAAAAATAAATAAAATTGAAAACACAAAATTACGTTTCTGCTTCTTTATATACAGATATAATTGATCGCAAAAATCAACAGTCGCGTTACTAATCAATCACGTGTTACACCTATATACAATACTGTAATAATTACATCATGATCATGATCGCAATGTGCGTAACACAATGCAAATAATTCGCCGGATTGGATCCTTTTCATAATTTACGACCAAACATATTAAAAAAAATTTTTTTTAAAAAAAAAATATAACAACCGTTAGAAAACTATAGAAGATTTTTCACGAGAGAAGCTTCAATTGCCTTGGATATCTGAAATTCGCTTTATCTGCGTTAGAATTATCATTACTACAATACAATTAATTTTTAATTGGTCTAAAATAACGTGCTTTGAGGCGTATAGCCAATTATAATATACTTTATAGAGCCTACAGTTATACGAATATCATACGAATAATGATTCAGATTTAGTTTTCCAAAATCCGGATGACCCAGAGAAGACAGGGTCGGAACACTAGACGATAGAAGCAAAGTTTATAAGACATTAACTTAACAATTATGGGCACTTTTCTTTGGATTTATCTTATGCGTTCACAAATGTATAGCTGATTTAGAGGTCAGTTTTTAATTAGTGGAAAATAATTTAGCCAATCAAGGGAGTTTTGAGTTTACTAATTTCCCCTCATATTGAGTACCATAAAATTGATTAATAACATAGATAATCCGATATATGAATAATTAGTAGAACCAATCAGAAGTGTGGGGAGAAATTAGTAAACTCGGGAGTTCTTCATCTCAATGAAAAAAAAATAATCGTCACTCAATGGATCTGAAGTAAAATTTTAATAAGTCGGAATTCGAATAAACTAATCGAGTTATCATTTCGATGAATAAAATATGATGCAAACCAACTTTTTTTTTATTTTATGGGGTTTAGGGTGCTCTCAAGCGCCTTAATCAATTGATTGGGATAAAAAATTTAATTAGCCGAGAATAATCAAGTGAGTTATCATTTCAGTGAAAAAAAAGATGGTCTGTGATCATCTTTTTTTTCAAAGAGCTGAGTTTTATTAGTAAAAATTTGCAATTGGTGGAGTAATAAAAGAGATCGTTCAAGCACTTTACATTGTTACGTCATGTAAATAACTAAAATTTTATTAGTACAGTAATAAATTAATATAACAGTATTATTTTAATAAGTTTTTTAACAAGCTACTGTATAGCAGTGCACAAAATTGTGGAGTGATGTAACCCGCTTTTTTTTCTATCGCCGGAATCATGTCTTAATCAACCGGAAATTCCGGTATTTTACAATAGATTTTGTGCACTGCTGTGTATAGGTCAGTAAGGCGGGGTTTGTAAATTTTTATTTTATATATATAATATAATTGACCAATAGAAATTTGCTATTCGATCATGTGATCAAAGGCACTGATAGTAAAGAAATTTTTAAATCTTGAACCGTCAATATACTGTATTGTACTTAAATAAGAGCAATGTCTACAAAGCTATCAGAGTATACTGCAGGTTATCATGGTCTACGTAGTGGAGACTGATCCCGGGTTGTGAAAGAACAAAAAGTAGACCGATATAGAACACCCCAGTATTACGTAGAATTCAAATGACAATACGACCGATACGTACCAGGTACGTACTATTAGTCTACAAGCCACAAATATTCACAATTACTAATTGTGGCTGTTAAAATTATTAGTGGCGTAAATTGTTTTATATCAGATATCTCGATGCAACTCACATTTCTTTAAATTTTATTATCTAAATTAAAATGGGATCTAAAAAAAAAAATAAGCAAAAACAAAAACATAATATTAAAGAGATACCACATACTTTATCTGATACAGAAAGCAACATCAATAATGATGAAACTTCTGAACAATCATTAGAAGAAATTTCTAAAACTGGCTTTAAAATCCTTCCCATAGAAATTGAGTCAATTTCTAGTCAAAATAATATTTCGTCTACTAATCCTTCAATTATACAAAATCCACTTGTTTCAATTCATTATTGTTATTTTAAAGGTCATGAATCACGTATAAATATCTGTGATAATTCGTCTATCCTCCCAGCAGAAAGAACACTTTTCATTACGAATTTACCAATAGATACAACTGAACGACATATTAAGCATATATTTGAAGAATGTGGTATAATCGACCGAATTTTATTTCATGGTATATTAAAGAATAATGAATTTTCAGCAAGTGTAATTAATGCTGATAATGATGATAAAACAATGGGAACAACGATAAAGGAGAACAAAACACAAAGAAAAAAATCAAAAAAAAAGAAAAAACAAAAATTTAATGAAGCTATTGAAAGTTCAATATTAGAAGGATCAAGAAATATACTATTCCCGGGCTCAACAGCACATATAGTGTTTAAAGATTCTGGAGGATTAAAAAATGCACTTCATATGACACAAAAAAAGAGGATATGGAATGTTAAAGATCATGATATTCCTCCATTGGGCTTGAAGAGTAAAAAATTCTTTTCTTTAAATAAATATTTATTTTTTAATACATTAAAAAATCTCAGACTTATAATTAATAATAGGATGGTTGCAAGAATATCAAAAACTTCGCATGGATCCCAATAAACTAAGTGCACAAATTAATGAATACATGCAAAATTTTGAGGAAGCAGAACAAGAGAAAATTAAAGCCTTGGAAGCAAGACGTAATCAACCTGATGAAGATGGATTTATCTTGGTTACTGGAACAGGAAAGAGAAACATCAATACTGATGGTACTATCACAGTAACAGCAGCTAAGGCAGAAGTTGTGAAAAATTTAAAACCGAAAAACAAGGGATTGGTAGACTTTTATCGCTTTCAAATGCGAGAAGCTAAACGTGAAAGTAATTATATAATATTACAATTTAGCGTGTTTATTTATGAACTTTCGTAAAAATTTTCAACATTTAATTATCTTTTATTTTAGAACTTATTGAACTGCGTAAGAAATTTGAAGATGACAAACGAAAAATTGCTGATCTTAAAGCAGCTAGGCGATTCAAACCTTACTGAAAAAGGTTCCGGATCACCTGCATCACTTGAAAATATATTATGATGTTTATATATGGTCTTATATAATAATTAAAAATTTTTGTATAAGATAGGAAAATATATTTCATGTAACAATTTATTATCATGATAGCCACATAACTACACTGCTACTTAAGCCAACTCGAACCTTATGAAATTGCTATATATTTGCAATTGACATGAACTTAATTTTTCAAGTAAACTTGAGAATAAATTAATTTGAGCACATGACTCGAAAAAATCAAGATACTGTATGAGTTTTATATCGGTATGCTTCTTAAATTGCAAAGTAAAATTTTTACTTACAGAACATCAGTTATACACGGATCAATAAAGCTTTAAGTGATATAAATACAATTTTTATTAATAATATTATAAAATATTTTGAATATTTTGAAAAGGTATATGAATATATTTTACCCAACTCTTGAGATTAAAATTTATTAAAATGTAGGATTAAAATTAGAGTAGCCTTAACAATCGAGAAAATCGGCAGCCATAAGCAGCTCCAAAGCAATAGTAGGATCAATATTGAATTGTGGTATTTCAGTTGTGGAATTGTTGTAACGGACTTTGTAGTACAAGTATTGACAAACTTTCTCCAATATCACGGCTCTAAAAAATATATTAAAATTATTTGAAAAATCGATTATATAACGTTGCATAAATAATTAATAGTAGTAATTCATACTTAATGTCCTGAAAATGAACTGTGTTTTGTTCTGATTCCATGAATTGTCCTTTATTCAAATAGATCAATAAGGTCAAAGTGTTGAAGTTTATAGGTACTTTTGATAAAATATAAAAATCTTACCAGGACTCGATAACATATTTTTTATAGTTCCGGAGATGAGTGCAGCATTTCTTTGGATGATAAACTCGAAACCATCTGAACTAATGAGTTTTACATATTCTGACGAAGTGTTTCTTGAAATTGACATTGTTTATGTATCGGTATCAAAATTTTATACGTATCAGAAATTTTGAGTCAAAGCATGGTGTCATCAACGGTTACCATTGCATCATGTGAAATAGTCACCGTGCCACCGAATTAACATAAATGGTAGTAAGAATGCCCAACGAAACTAGTGTCTCAACTTTGTGACTTTATTACTATGAGTTACCCAAACTATCCTTCGGTGCACTTTCCGCAGCCGAATATTACTCGAGCCTCTTAC